TATATATATAATATAATATATATATACTATATATATATATATATATATATATATATATATATATATATATATATATAATATTAGTATATATATATATATATATATACATATGTATATATATAAATATTATATATATATATATATATATAGTTGCGTGTACGTAGTTTTGTGTACGTAGTTGTGTGTAATGCTGAAGTGTGTTGCGTGTGCGAATGATAAAGTGTGGTGGTGTGTGCGTACACCATACTTAGTTCACGGTGATTTATAACATATCTCATATCACTTATGTCTCCAGGTTAACATTGTAGGCACGTACTTCATAATGATTCACAACACAGGCCACAGGGCAGCATTGCACACACTCTATACCACCGACATACTCTACAGCCTACTACAGCAGTACTAATCAGGTCACCTTTAATAAGGCCGTAAATTCGGGTATTGAATACAAAATGAAACACACAGACAGCGAGAAGTAGTCATGGGTCGAACGCAGAAAACATATTATAAAGACGACGACGACGATTACACATAGTACATAGGTAAACTCCGAATACGGTGGCTAAAACCCTAAAAATAGGATATATATGTATGTATGTGTAAAAATTAGTATATATGTATCTATAAACTTCGACGACGGCTACGCACGCATCTGAATACTGTCATTAAAACCCCCTCCAATAAAGTATATATATACAAGCTAAATATTCTATATATAAGCGAAATACATTATACATATACAAATAAATGTTCCTATATACAAAATCCGTCCATAGCAACCAACCAACATGAGCAGAGCAAACAGGCACGACACTAAACACGCACTCACTCTGGAGCAACGCGATGTCTCCGGCATCGACAAAGTACAGCGCCATGAACGGCACGATCAGAAGGGTCATGCGAAGCGAGTAGAAGAAGGTCTTGTGATTGTATCTGCGGTAGACTGAGGCCCATTGCTGAAGGTGATGGTGAGAGTATAGGAACAGTTGAGGCACTGAACGGCGCGATCAGAAGGGTCATACGAAGCGAGTACAAGAAGGTCTTGTGATTGTATCTGCGGTAGACTGAGGCCCATTGCTGAAGGTGATGGTGAGAGTATAGGAACAGTTGAGGCACTGAACGGCGCGATCAGAAGGGTCATACGAAGCGAGTACAAGAAGGTCTTGTGATTGTATCTGCGGTAGACTGAGGCCCATTGGTGAAGGTGGTGGTGAGAATATAAGAACAGTTGAGGCAGTGAGTAGGAGGAGTGGCTGAGCGAGTGTGTAAACGTACAAGTACTTCGTTATCAAAATCAAATCGAGACTCACACTCGCTCGATATTTACGTTAAAAGGTTATGCGAGCACACAGGTGAGATGTCATCAGTCGTAGATGTCGAAGTGGGAATATCTGTAACATCGCCGCAATGTTCTGCAGTTGCCAATATAGTCATCCAGAACGTTAAACGCGTACCAGTCCCTGGCTGATCAAATCAGGATATCGTGCGTATTTTTCATACATATATACATAAACGGATCTATATATTCATACATACACCGATACGTTCTCAGCAAACTGACATATTCCTATATATACACGTATCTGACATGCGCACGATCCATAAACACACACAAACACACACACACACACGCACACACACACATATATATATATACACAAACACAGACACACAAAAGCATATACACACACACGAAAACCAGACACATCCGAAAACTCACACACATCCACACACACAACTATATATACATAAAACTCCACATACGCACAAGCATACATACACACACGAACACTCTCGTGTCCCAAACAGAGCACCCCCTTGCAGTGGCACCCCATCCCACCGCACCTTGTACACACGCGAGATGCCTGCCTTCTGCCTGAACTTCTGATGAAAGGACAAGGACGAGTTCCTCGCCCGCGCGGCACGGAAGGTCTGATCCATCAGCAGGCTGTCTGTGAACACCACCCCATCCGAGTGCTTGTCCTGTCTCCCCTGGTCCTGTGCACCTGCCCCCTTAATTGGGACACCCCCCGCGAATGCTGAGGCAGAGGCTCCCGCGTCTGCGTCCGTGTCCGGTCCCGTTTCCCGGCCTTTGCCCTGTCCTGGTTCTTTTTGTGGGTGCGGGTGGGTGCAGGCCGTCTCCCCGTCAGTCAGTAGTGGGGTGGTTTGCTTCTGCTTGCACCGGTCGTCGGTTGGTGATCTCCCCCTGCGACACGACCGCGTGCGCAGGCCCTGTGCCTGTCCGGCACTCCCCACCGTATCGGGTACGTGTGTAGGTAACCCAGTGCTCATGCCGTGGGTAGGTAACTCTGTGCTCATGCCGTGGGTAGGTAACCCTGTGCTCATGCCGTGGGTAGGTATATCAACACCCCTGTCACTTGGCGCACCGCCTGCGTCCCCATCCACCGACCCCTTCAGCCTCTCCTCGTGATCTGTCCGTGTGTGTTGTTGTTGGTCGATTTGTCCGTTTGCAGCCCCCTCGGCCCTGTGTCCTGTTTCCAGGTGCATGTCCTGGGGAGCATGGGCGGGGTCTAATGCGCGCGTGCTTTCTGCATTCGCTTGGGAATCTCCAGCCCTTTCGCTGACTACAGTCGCCTCAGCGGTCCCGTCGGGTGTGTTTGGGTGCGTGAGGTCATTCGGTCCGATTTCGCTACCCTGTCCTAAAGCAGATTTCGGGTCTGTTACATTATACAGGAGATACAATTAGTCCCCACTGCAACACGAACCAAACAATAGTCCCACTTCGCTATCTGTTTCGAACGCAGACATGCCTATTTCTTTACTCCACTAGTCTATGATTTACGTATTCATATATCAACGGAACTGTTTTACAAGTATATATATAAGCAATCTGTTTACGTTTCCATATAATAGCGGGACTATTTTACGTGTTCATATAATAATGAGTGTTTTACGTATTCATATATTAACGGGAGTGCTTTACGCATTCATATATTAACAGGACTGTTTGACGTATTCATATATTAACGTGACTGCTTTACATATTCATATATTAACGAGACTGATTTGCGTATTCATGTATCAACGGGACTTGTATACGGATACATATATTAACGTGACTGATTTGCGTATTCATACATTAACAGGACTGCTTTGCGTATTCATATAAACGGGCTGTTTTAAGTATCCATCAATATAAATTCGTGTGCATGCGCGCATGTCCGCATATATCCATCGTGTTGTCTACCACCAATACAGACATTTGAACCAAGGCAATATACTGTGTGAAGCACTCACTACTGCTTGCCTGAGACCATCAAGTACACAAACCCTAAACCCTAAGCAAAGCCTAAACCATCTGAGTGCCACAGATACCATTGTCTGAGCTGCTCATTGTTGCCTGCAGACCCCTGATTCAGACCTTTAATTCAGACCCCTAATACAGTCACCTAATTGGCCGTGTGATCGCTATGCATGTGAGCCATGTGTATTCATCTGTACCCAATTGTGTACGCCAGAGTGTCTATTGACCTCTCACTCTGAGGGGTTCATCACGCCGACTTCCATGCACTTTGATATATATATATATATATATATATATATATATGTATACACACACACACACACACACACA